CTCCTCAAAAACAGGATTGAGTAGATGCGGGGGAAATCATGCGAAGCTGCGGGGCAAAATGCGCCCGTGCAGCAGCTTGTGTGAAATTGACACGTACCATCGGGGCAAAAGGGAAGAGCGAGCGTGGAGCAGCACTTGTGGGAAATCGGTCTGAGTCTTAATGTCTTATCAGTTAAGCAATGGAAGCATTTTTTCGGGAGTATTAGCTCTGTTAATTCAATTAAGGCAGCAGTCATAGGCTTGAGGAATTGTTCAAAAGGGGCATCTAAGAATTAAAGTGCCTTACACAGCTTCGTTAGCACCTGACACGGTTTCCACTAAGGAAGGAAACAGAAGCTTGCACACCTGCCATTGGACTGGTCCTGCAGCTGGGGCGGGAGACGGGCGGCCTCACTGGCTCTTCCTGCTTCTGCCATCCTTTTGAAAGGAAGCATCAGGAAGACCTGGCAAGGCCATGCGGCTGGCCAGCGAGTGACTCCCACACTGTCACAGTCCATTTCCTCAGGCCTGAGCTAAGGAGCTCCTCTTCTTCCTCCCCAGGGCCTCTGAGTCCCTCCTTCTTTCTATCTTCTTCTTCTGGAAGGAGCTCTGCCATGGTCCCTGTTCCCTGCCGAGCAGCTACAGGCTGCACTGGCTAATCTGAAGACGAGGAGGTGAGGCGGACAGTGCAGTGACTACCCCACCAAAATTCATAATTAAAGGGGGAGATTCGGGTGAGTGCAGCAAAATTGATGAGGGCACAGCAAAATCGATAGGGGGTGCCGCCTGCTCTGCCTCCCCCCCCCCGCTGGCTGCAGCTCTGAATGGAAGGGCCAAGGGGCACCATTGTTGGGCTGCGTTTAGAGCATCAGTTGGGCTTAATCCAGCCCTGATCTCCAGACAACCAAGATTGGTTCCCCCGGAGAAAATGGCTGCTTTGGAGAGTGGACTCTATGGCATTATGCCCTGCTGAAGTCCCTCCCCTCTCCAAACCCCTCCCTCCCCAGGCTCCACCCTCCAAAATCTCCAGGTATTTCCCAATCCAGAGCTGGCAAACTTATTTTCAGGGTATATTGGGGGTTCACAGCCCTCCATAATCCTCTCCCCAAATCCCTGCACATAGAAACTAGATTTCAGAGAGAAAGACCCATGTCATACCTCCCATCTTTAGCTTCAAACCTGCCAAAAGAGAGTAGTAGTGAGAAATTTAAGTTACTTTCATCCCACAGTCTAACCTACTTTACAGAATTTGTATGAGGGTAAGGTGAAAAGCCTGAAAGTTTAGTTAAAATTTGATGGCTCTTGGCTTGGGAGAGTTCTTAAAAAGAAGGATTTTTATGTGCTAAATTCATTGCCTCAGCAGTAGCAGATAATCTTATTTCATACTACCGATATCCATGTGGTATCAGTGTGGGGCCTGTTTTGTGGTCTTTGTAGCTGCCTGACCAATGCCTGTCAAAATTATTAGGTGACAATTTTTTGAACAACCTGGAGCAGTTTATCACCCATACCTGTTCATTACCACGTTGTGACAGATAAAAGCCTTTGTCAGGTATGGGCAGCCGATGAATGCCATGTTTACATGCAGTACTCCATTAAATTCCATATTATGGGTGGCCTAGGCTGTTTCCGATTCAGCTCAGAGGCCATTGTGAAATTGTTAAGTTCAACACCATTCATACTGGAGTGTGAGGATATACTCTGCCCGGTTAATGTCTTGCAGAAGCCAGTATCAACTGGGCTGAGGTGACTACAGTATTTTGTCTGAAACGTATCTGAAAGCAGTTTTGGATTAGCTAGTTACAGCGAGAGGAAAACATCAACATGAACAGTTACAGCGGAGGCCATTTTTACCATCATGACACTTGTAAGGAAGGTCATGTAGAAACCTCAAATGAAAAGCTCCATTTTATGGCTTATATTTGTAGTGTTGACCAGGTTCACATATGCAGGAGAACAAGATGGTAGAACAGATGGTACCACTTTAGACTGTGAGCAGGTCACAGTTTGGAATGCTTCCTGTTGTTAATGCCAGTAGAAACGAACACGGATGGCAATGGGAAGGGATAGAACCTTTCTTTCTCCTGTTCTAGTTTTCTATTACACTGAAGGCTTTTTCTTTTAATACGAAGGACTAGCTGGAATTCACTACCTAACTGAAGTGATGCAATGAATTGTACTACCTCTGAGTTCTGCTGCCTCATTCTCCTGTATGTGTGAATCAGGCCTTGGTATAGGACTCCCAACTAGCCCTGATTCTCTTTTAGTAGAAGGAATAATATCCAATATGAAGAAGATGGGAAGGAACAAGTAGGAATTGCAGACAGGACTCTTTCAGTGTAATATCGTTCTAAACCCAATGGATTTAGAAGGGTGTAACTCTGTTTAGAATTACATTGTTAATGTCCTGTCAAACATCTATAATTCCTACTTGTTCTAGCACACAGACAACTAGCAGATAAGGGAGAAAGCGAGCCTACTTCCTAGCTTTTCTCTGTGCAGGGGGTCATTTGGGACAATCTTGAAACATGAGCTCCTTTTCCGACTTGTCTTCAGGAATGATACAGATACAGTCTAGTAGGAGAGGCTGCACAATGTTGCAAAGTACTGGGTTCGCCGCATGGATGACTCGGACGACGACATGCGGTTGCACACGTTTATTGTACTTAACACAAGACTAACTCTAACGGCCTGACAGGGCCAACTATATACATATCCACCCAGCACCCCCTATTCCCATTGGAGGGTTTGAATGTCCCGCCAAGTGGCTATTGGTTGGGGCTGGGGGAAACCAGGATCCAAAGTTTCCTTTGTTCCAGGAGCCAAGCTCCTGCATGTGCCGCGGACCCCTGGTGGCGGTCCACGTACATAACAAATGTGATCCTGCTTCATTTGTAGGTCAGCGTTTATAGACTCAAGAGGCTCAGATCTTTTAATGTATTTCTCTTCAAATAGATTTTCAGTTCCTAAAGTGGTTCTATTTTGCACTTCTCTCAGTTTGAATTCACCCTTCTTGGACACGAGTAGCCAAAAATGGGTACTGTGCTTCAAATAAGACTTCAGCAGTGCTTCCACAATGATATTAATACACCTCTGTCAAGTACTTTTATTGTGTTGTCTCAAAGTCATAGCAAACAACAGGCACAAAACCATAAAATCACAACACAAAGTTACATTACCAGCTGTAATATATAAACCACCAGCACAGTAGGTTTTAAAAGCAGATTAGACAGAGTCATGGTGGGTAAGTCCACCAATAACTACTAGCCATGATGACAAAAGAGAGCATCCATGTTCAGAAATAGCAAACCTCTGAATGACAGTGCTCGGGTGTAACGTCAGGGAAGGCCTTAGCCTCTGTGACCTGTTTGTTGGCACTCCAGGGTAACTGGTTGGCCACTGTGTGAAAAAGGATGCTGGATCAAAGGAATCACTGTAATCTGATCCAGCAGTGCTCTTTTTTGGTTTTAAAACATATAAAGAGTTTCATTTGCCTTTTTGGTTAATGCATCAAGAAGAATAGAACCCACAGAGGAGTTGTTAAAATTTACACTGACTTGATGTTTTCCTCTCGCCTCTTTCTTTCTCAGGCAGCAGCTGTGTCCCAAAAGGAACTCTCTGGATGTACGCTGTGACCAGGAGGTTAGTGCTGAATAGTCTGTAACCTTTGCCGATTTGCGTAGGTTCATGTTTTTCTCTCTTTTGGATTCTTGTTACTGGCTACCTGAATATGTTGACGGGGTAATGTTTTGAGTTGTAGAACGGGATCCAGAATGCCGGCATTGATATCAATGAGCTCCGCTTGGTCATGCCAACCCAAGAGAACGAAAACAACAACCACTCTGTTGGGGGAAATGGAGCGGGTAAGCAGCGGGCTGTTAGGAAGAGCTCTGTTGTCAGTCTTTAACTGTCGCCGTCCCCCGCCCCGAGATGCTGGAGATGATTTCTGCATGTGTGAAACTTGAACTCTTATACTTTACAAAGAGGCCTTTACCTCTTCTAGCGCTTGTTTTTCCCCTCCCTTGGTAGAGTAAATTTGTTTTCCTTGGCAGCAAAAGCCCACAAGTGTAATCCCAGAGTGCTGCCAACGGAAACAGACATACCCAGTGTTGTAAACCAGGTTAGCAGGTCATATGTTCTTGTTAATCTGGTGACAGAGATGATCTTTAATGCACCCATGAACGGGCACACACGCGTGCCATTTTCTCATGGCCGTACCCGTAAAGGATGAATTTTTGCAGCATTAGATTCGTGTTTTTTATTATGGTCATGCTGTCATTTCCCCCCCCTTATTACATTAGGGATTTTTATTCTTTATCTTGGTTGTGCAATTAAAGGAGCAGTCCCAAGAAGGTCTTTGCAGAAGCAAGGCCAATTTTACTTAACAGGTAGGGTTGCCAACCTCCAGGTGGGGACTGGAGATCTCCCGGAATTACAGCTGATCTTCGGATGGCGGAGAACAGCTCCCCTGGAAAAAATGGCTGCTTTAGGGGGTGAACTTCATGGCATTATACTCTGCAGAGGTCCTTCCCTTCCCCAGACTCTGCTTTCCCAAGACTCCACACCCAAATCTCCACAAATTTTCCGACCTGGAGTTGGCAGTCCTGTACAACAGGACTTAATTCCAAAAAAGGGTTTTAGGATTGTGGCCTTACTCCCTACCACTTATCAATGTAAAACTTCAGTCCCAAGGCTGGGAGCATCCCTACCTAAAGACCACTTTAATTTTGGTTTGCATCTCCTTTCTCAAGACCATTTCCCCTCCTCCCCAGAACCGCAATAACAACTGGCACTGGATGTTGGCAAAAATTAAATCCCACCTCTGATCCCCCCCAAAAAAACCTCTGAGTCCTACAGTTGCCAGCTCTGGGTTGGGAAATATCTGGAGATTTTGGGGTGGAGCCTGGGGAGGGGTTTGGGGAGGGGCGGGAGTCCATCCTCCAAAGCAGACATTTGCTCCATGGGAACTGATCTCTGTCACCTGGAGATCAGTTCCAGTTCTGGAAGTTCTCCAGGCCCCACCTGGAGGCTGGCAGCCCTATTAGCTGTGCTAGAATTCTGTTCCATTATATTGAATTCCATTCTATGTACAGGTATTTTTGCTCTGCGTGTAGTGTGTGTGGTTAGTAGTCAATCACGTAGTCTCTCACTGGCATTTTGAAACAATGCAGTCCAAGAACAATCTTAACACTTTTTAGGGGGTTTTTTTGCCATCAAGTCACAGCTGATTTATGGTGACCCCGTGAGGTTTTCAAGTGAGAGACATTCAAGCTGTGGTTTGCCATGGCCTGCCTCCATGTCATGACCCTGGTATTCCTTGCTGGTCTCCCTTCTAAATATTGACCAGGGCCAGCCCTGCTTAGCTTTCAAGATCTGATAGGATTGGGCTAACCTGGGCTATCTAGGTCAGGGCACCTTTTAGTAACAACACCTGTAGGAGTCATTCCGTTCAGACAAGGGGTCGCTCAGTTAAACATTCAAGTGGGGAACCTTGGGACAGTAATGATTCTGCAGCATACGGTTGTCTCCCTCTGTCCCCACTTCTCTGGAAATAAACAAAACATTTTTGCATTTTTTTCAGTCACTTCCTGTGATGGCAGCACCGAACGTTCCCCACCACAAACCGACCCGGATGTGCCCTCGTCAATGTCGGCAGTGACCACAGAGTCTGGAAGTGATGAGGTGTTTATAATTTCAGCTGGCCCTGGAGCTAGTGGCTTGAGTTTTACTTCTTACAGAATCCAGGTAGAGGAGGCCAGTGTATATTTGGTGCATGGATGTTGTCAGTCAGATCGCCCTCTGCTGTTGTTGTTTTTTTAGTTTTTATTTGTTTAGACAACAACCTCAGATATGCAGACGATACCACTCTAATGGCAGAAAGTGAAGAGGACCTAAAGAGCCTCTTGCTCAGAGTGAAGGAGGAGAGCGCAAAAGTGGGCTTGAAGCTCAACATAAAAAAAACTAAGATCATGGCATCCGGCTCCATCACTCCTTGGCAAATAGAAGGGGAAGTCGTGGAAGTAGTGATAGACTTCACGTTCCTGGGATCCCAGATCACCGCAGACTGTGACAGCAGCCATGAAATTAAAAGACGCCTGCTCCTTGGGAGGAAAGCGATGGCAAACCTAAACAGCATGATAAAAAGTAGAGACATCACCCTGCCAACAAAAGTCCGCATGGTCAAAGCAATGATATTCCCAGTAGTCATGTATGCTGTGAGAGTTGGACTATAAGGAAGGCTGAGCGCTGAGGTATAGATTCTTTTGAACTATGGTGCTGGAGAAGACTCTTGAGAGTCCCTTGGACTGCAAGAAGATCAAATCAGTCAATCCTAAAAGAAATCAACCCTGACTGTTCCCTGGAAGGCCAGATAATGAAACTGAAGCTCAAATACTTTGGCCACCCAATGAGAAGGGAGCACTCACTGGAGAAGACCCTGATGCTGGGAAAGATTGAAGGTCAAAGAAGACGGGGACGGCAAAGGATGAGATGGTTAGACAGTGTCATAGATGCAATGAACATGAAATTGAGCAAACTTCAGAGGACGGCAGAAGACCGGAAAGCCTGGCATGATCTGGTCCATGGGGTCGCGAAGATCAACTGTGCGACTGAACAACAACAAAAAAACTCAATGGCTTGCATAGGGTTGCCAGGTCCTCCCAAGAGCCAGTTTGGTGTGGTGGTTAGGGGCGCGGACTCTAATCTGGAGAACTGAGTTTGATTCCCCACTCTTCCACATGGATTTGATTCCCCGCTTCTTCACATGGAGCCAGATGGGTGACCTTGGGTCAGTCGCAGTTCTCTCAGAGCTCTCTCAGCCCCACCTACCTCACAGGGTGTCTATTGTGGGGAGGGGAAGGGAAAGGAGATTATAAGACGCTCTGAGTGAAGGGCGGGGTATAAATCCAATCTCCTCTTCTTCTTCTATGGTTGTCAGATCCAGGTTGGAAAACTCTTGGGGATTTGGGGATGGAGCCGGGGGAGGACAGGGACCTCAGTGGGGTACAAAGCCATAGAGTCCACCTTCCAAAGCATCCATTTTCCCCAGGGGAGCTGATCTCTGCCATCTGGAGATGAGCTGTAATTCTGGGGGATCTCCAGGTGTCAGTTTAAGGCTGGCATCCCTAGCTGCTTGCAACATCTTTTTTCCTTCCTCAGTTTTATCCTAGATTCATAGAGTTGGAAGGGATCTTCAGGGTCTAGTCCAACTCCCTGCACTATGCAGAGAATCCACAAATACCACCCCCACCCCCCAGTGACATGCTCAAAAATGTTGGGAACCCCTATTCTCACAGTAACCTTACTGTGAAGTAGGCTAAGTTAAGAAAGAGTGTGTGTGTGACTGGGCTAAGGTCACCCAGCCAGCTTCCATGGCAGAGTGGGGATTTGAATCTGGGTCTCCCAGACCCTAGTCTGACATCCTAATCCAGGGGTCCCCAACATGGTGCCCACTGAGTCCTTTCCTGATGCCCACCAAGAGTTTTTAGAAAGTGAGCAGGGCCAGGTGGGGCTTTTGCCCAGCAAGTCTTCTGATCAGCCATCGGAGATCTGATGGGCAGTGCAGATTTTTTAAAAAGTTGCCTTGGCAGCAGTTGCCACCACAGCTCAGGGGTCTTCATTGTGTGTCTCAAGGTAAGCTATGGCAACCATTTTGTGGCTGGCTTTGCCTCCGAAGAGAGCCACTTTGTAGTTGTGGCCACGATACCCTATCAGAACTTCAAAGATGCCAACAGGCTCAAAAACATTGGGAACCCTATCCTAACCACTGTAGCATGCTGTTTCACTTTCTGAGAGTCCATTTCCCCGTGCAACACACCCTGCTACACAGTATTTGGGGGGTAAACCCCCATCTCTTAGCTGTGACTTGTATGTATGCCACCTGATGGTGTCTCGCTTGATGACGTGTACCTAAAAACGTGCAACCGGCTTCCATTTAGTTATGTGGACCAGAACACCATGCACAAGACTGCACAGATTCAAGCATGCCACTTTTCACCATTTATATCAATAACCTCCAGAATTAATCTAAAAATTTCCTGGTGGCAGAGTTCTTAATAAAGAAGTTGCTCCCAGCCCAGAAACAGGTCAGCCTCAGCACTGAGCAAATAATGAGTTGTTTTCCACTTGGTAGCTGTAGGGGTGTTTTTGGCATGATCCAGAACATTACTCCGATGTTTATGGAGGTGTGAAATGTTGAGCCTTGACAGTAAACAAAGATCCCAGACTCACCCTCACTTGAAGTGCTTGTCTAGACAATTGTGAAACTGTAAGCGGATTTGCAAAAAAGATTATCTAAATCCCTTCACTAAGAAGCTCCAGGCCTCCAATGGAGCCTGAATCTGAGCTTTGGTAAGGAAAGGAGAGGGGTTTTTTGGGGGGGAAATAGCAGGGAACCTGATCCACTGCTGTTAAGAATGAGGGGTGTCTCCTGCAAGTCCGTCCCAGGATCCTTGAAGCCTTTGCTGTGATCTTTTAGAGACTGTTCATGTGAAGCAGATAATTCTAAAACATACCGTGCAGTTTCTCTTCAAAGGTGTGTGTGTGTGATAATTTTAGAGGATTTCCTCCTGTCCTTTTTGCTTGACTGATAAGACTCTTCCCCCCCATTGGCTTTTAAACATTTTTTACTGCTGCTAGTGTTGTTTTTATGCTTTTTTTTGTCAAGTCACAGCCAACTTAACCCCATGGGTTTTTTTTAAGACAAGAGATGAACAGAGGTGGTTTGCCGTTGCCTGGCTCTGCACAGCAACCTTATATTTCCTAGGTGGTCTCCCATCCAAGTATTAACCAGGGCTGACCCTACTTAACTTTCAAGATCAGAAGAGATCGGGCTAGTCTGGGCTATCCAGGTCAGGGCAAATAATAAGTATTGTCAAGTAGCAACTGACTTATGCCGACCCCCCCTTGTGGGGTTTTCAAGGCAGAAATGGTTTTCCATTGCCTTAATCTGAATTACAGCCCTGGACTTCACTGGTGGTCTCCAATCCAATACTAACCAGGGCCAACCTCACTTAGCTTTCAAGCTCTAATGAGCTTGGGCTAGGCTAGACTATTCAGGCTGCTTCTGTAATGCTGTTATCGTTCTCTTATTGTCTTTAGAATTTTACGGTTGGTTATTAGCTGTTTGTTGTTGCTGTGTTCGTTAATTTGAATGTTATTACTGTCTTAAATATTGTCATGTTTTTATTTCTGGTGATTTGAATTGTGTGTTGATTATGTGTTTTAAAATTAATGTATTTTCCCCCCCCCCAAGCTAAAAATAACCCAGGGAGGAAGGAGTTTCCTCTGGGGAAGTGGGGGATGCGTATGGGGGATGAGCCCGGAAAAGGTTAACCCTTCTTCCCAGTGCCGTGGGCCTGATCCACGCCAGCACTCCTACTGCTACTTTTTGAAACTGATTTAACTCATTGCGGACCTGATCATGAATCCCTGGCATTGTGTGGGCAGTGGCTCAATAACAGAGCATCTGCCCTTCGTGCAGAAGGTTCTAGGTTCAGCCATTGGCATCTCCAGCTGTAGTAAATGATGCTGAAAGACCTCTGCCTGTGCCCCTGGAGAGCTGCTGCCAGTCAGCATCGACGGTGCTGACCTTAATCGATCAAGGGCCTGATTCAGCAGAAGGCAGTTTCATGTGTTCACGGGTACGTTAGCCATCAGACAGCCATGGTTATTACAGTGGGACCATTTTCTGACAGATAATTCCTTTTTCTACGAAATGACCCCTGCAGATAATTCTAACATCTTCACCCTTCTGCACAGTCTAAAACATTTACTGACAAAGGTTTATGTGTGTATTAGCTTATATGGGCAGCCTTTTCTTCTTCATGTAAGCAAAAGATGTTTTTGAAATTGACTTAAGTATAAAACTATCATGGAGAATAAGTGTGTGATTTTTTAGAAGCAGCTTGCATTTGGTTTTCCGTGCTATTCATCAGAAGACGACTATATATATAATTTTTAGAAGACAAACAGGTAATTTAGAGAAAGTACAGAAAAGGAAAAATAATTATGTAGCATAAACAAAGAATAAAGAAATATTTCTTCCCAACACCCCCTTCATTACATTAAAGAATTTTTGAAACACTGTCTATAAGGTACAGTAAGATTACATCCGTTGGGATACATTTATATTCAACAGTTTGCATTTTGAAACTAATCTGTTTCTCAAATAAGTTATTAGTTTCACCAGTACTGCATACTTTCGTCATTACTGCGTACTCGATATTTCGATGAATAGGTAATATAAAGAAAATACAGAAAGAAGAAGATAATTATATATCATAAAACAGAAAACAGAAAATATTTCTCCCCAGAAGACAATATTGAAAGTTGTCTTTGCTACCCAATTGAATGAAGATGCCGTGTGGCCTCTGCCATATTTCATTTTTAAAATAATCCTAAATAATAATTTAATAACACGCAATGATTTTTCTTTTAGGACAAGAGCCTAAAGAGAAGCATCACAAGTCCAGGCTCTGTTTCTGACTGGCGGACGACTGATCAAACCGACCGAGGCACAGGCACTGCGGAGAAAAGGCTGGCCCAGACCGAGAGCCACTGCCCCAGGCAACGGACCTGGAGCGCACGAGCATTTCAGGATTTACTGGCTCCGTTACCTCAACTACAGAAGAAATGGTGCAGCTGGACGACCAACAGCCCTTTCACAAAACTGGTGAACAACAGTGTAAGTGTTTGTGGAAGGCCTAAGGGAGTTACCTAAAATGTGCCTGCTACAGATTTGCTAGAGTTCAGTCCCGATTGTGTTGCATGCTAATAAGCACCACAGATGTACACGTGGCTGGTGCATCGTCTTAACAGCATTTCTATCTATTTCTCAAATGTATATCCCACTCCCTCTCCCCCAAGTGGGACTCAGGGCGGCTAATAGCATACAAAACACACCCAATGAAAACAATGCAAACGATACAATAAACTTTAAAATATAAAACAAATAAAAATCTAACCCCATTATGAAGCATACCAGCTGCCTGGTGGATCACAATTCTGGGTAGGGCTCACTACTTTATTAATTTATTTAGGTTACTTATAATCTGCCTTTCTCACTGAGACTCAAGGTGGATTACATCGTGTAAATCAATGCAGTCAGCGGGATGGGACATCCAATAAGCAGTGTAATAGGAGTAGGAGGAAGGAACTAAAACCAAGTGAAAAAACAATGGGAGGCCCGACCTGGATGGCCCAGGCTAGCCCAAACTCATCAGAGCTTGGAAGCCAAGCAGCGTTAGTATTTGGATGGGAGACCACCTAGGAAGTCTTAGGGTTGCTACAAGGAGCCAGGCAATGGCAAACCACCTCTGTTAGTCTCTTGCATTGAAAACCCTATGGGGTCGCCAGACCTCTGTTAGTCTCTTGCATTGAAAACCCTATGGGGGTCGCCAGATGTTGGCTGGGACTTGATGGCACTTTTCACCACCAAAACACCTGGAACAAAGCGTAATTATTAATGTGGCACATTAAACGATGCAGAAGTTACATAACAATAGATAGTACATACTTTACACCATGGGTGTCAAACACCAGGCATGGTGGCCAGATAACAATAGATAGTACATACTTTACACCGGGGTGTCAACACCAGGCATGGCGGCCAGAACTGGTCCGTCCAGGGCTCTTATGCGGCCCACAAGCAACTGGTTCAAGGGAGGGAGTACTGGGGGTATGTGGGCAGAGCCACTCCATTGTGGCTTCAGCATGGCAGAACAACCTTGTCTGCAGCAGTTAAGCATCGTGGGAGCATCTGTCTGGCATTGCACTGCTGCCCCTCCAGTCTGCCTATGTGGGGTTTCTTCTGCACCCCCCTCCCTGCCCATGGGGCTTGCAGTGAGGCTACACCAATTTGGAGCTTACCAACTGCTGTCCTTTATACAGTTTCTATCTCCGGTATCTGACATTATGTTTTCTGGCACACATGGCTTGGCCCAACAAAGTGACATTTATGTCAGATCTGGCCGTCATAACAAGTGAGTTTGACACCTCTGCTTTACACTGTAGCTTAATCCACAGTATCTTGCCCTTTATTAAAGCATCCCCAATCAATTCCATTATAATAAATCCCTATTTCCTTTGTAAAAATGGCCTTCCTGAATAATTCAGTTTTGCATAGTTTGTGAAATGTCAGGAGAATGGGAGCATTCCTGATGTCATCAGGTAGGTGATTCCATAAGATGTGGAACACATCGGTGAATGTATATGCTTGGGCAGTTATTGAGCTTGCATCGTGGTACCTGGGGAAGGCTCTGCTCAGGTAAGAAAAGCTGTCATGGTGGTGCATAGGGGAGAGGCAGTCTCATAGATGTGAGAGTCCAAGGCCATGAAGGGTACCTTAAACTGAGTCTGGTAACTGCTGGGCAGCCAATGGAGTAACTGCAGAATGGGAATAATATACATGCTCCATCTAGCTCCTGATGATAACCAAACTGTGGAATTCTGCACCAACTAGAGTCTTCCAGTTGACCGGGAGGAGAGTCCTAGGTAGAGTGCATTATGGTCGTCTAGTCTTGATGTTACTGTGGCATGGAGCCAGGTGGCCAGATTGGCCAAGTCAAGGTAGAATGCCATCTTCCAGGCTAAAATAAGTCAGCAGAAAGAAACTTTTGCATCTGTGTTAACCAGTGTTCCCTCTAAGCTGAGTTAGTGTGAGCTAGCTCAGAGTTTTTTGACCTCCGTCTCACACATTTTTATCTTAGCTCAGGAAAGATGGCCCCAGAGCAAACTATTTTATGCAGTAGCCAAATTGCTCACTCACAACGTTAATGTCAGTAGCTCACAAAGTAGAATTTTTGCTTACAAGTCTCCATAGCTTAGAAGGAGCATTGGTGTTAACTTGCTTCTCCTGCAGTAATGCTGGATGTGGTGTAACCCCTAAGCTCTTGACTGAGCCAATGAGGTTTGGCTTTTTCCTTCCTGTTTTGGGTGCTCTGTAAAGCTGTAGAAAAGTCAGACACATGAGCTCTTGAGTGTGAGCTAAAGGAAAGAGCTAAAGGATTCTTGGCAGTTTGACTCCCAGCCTGTGTCTTCGGGCAAGCCAGCCAATAGGATCAGGACTAGCCCAAGACATAGTTATTTAGTAAATGTTTGTTTATTTAGCATTTTTATTGTTGCAAGCTGCTTTGGGTTCCTGTGGAGCTGAATAAGCAGGCTGTAAAACAAAGAAAGACGATTATAGCAGTCATTTGGGCATACATTATTACGATTCCTTGTAAGATGGGAAGCTGTTCAGGGTTACCAGCAAGCACCTTATCGGAATGCCTGAAACCTTTACTTGCACTTTGTAAGTTGCCCGAGTATCTTAAGGCTGTAGAAAAGCCGACATCCACATGGAAACAGGAGAAGGAAATGAGGTAGGACGTTTGAGGAAAAGTTATGAAAGAGCCTCCATCTCATTACACGAGCCCCAAGAAACGTCTGCTTGCAAATCTCTAACACTTTTCAGAATTGATGTTATGATTGTTCCTGCCAGGGCTTTTCTACATCAACAAGAAATCCAGCTGCAGCGACAAGAAAGATAACGTCAGCAGCAGAGATAGAGGGGATGTTGGAGCTGGCTTACTCAGACTCATCGGCCAGCACTGCGTCCTACCCGCTGACGCATTCGGCACAAAAGCAGCGCAAGTTAAGCAGCTGTAACTTGAAGAGATCCCGCTTTGGAAACCCTTATTTCGGATTTTTGACAAGCTCCCCTGACTGTAACCGTCCAAGGACATCTGATCCCTCAAAGCCTTTGAATGTCAGATCTCCAGGCAATGGCCAAAGCCAGGGATTGAAAGAGCCTCTGGAAGGTCCCATCCAACTCAGAAGCAATGGTTCAAAATCCAAGGAGCTGTCTTTGGAAATGGACAAACCCAAAGCCGTTTTTGTTATTTCGGAAGAAGGGGATGACCAACAGCCGTTGGTTTTAGCAGAGCATGTTAATCCATACGCCGATGCTTTACCTGAACCAAATGTCGTCATGCACAATCTAGGGATGGCCATGAAGGATGAGCAGCCGGTGGGCACAACTGTTCAAGGAGAAGGCTTTGCTGAGTCCCCCAGCGCCAGGACAGAATTTGATCTTTGGGGGGAGTACCCCAGCATGTACAAAGATTCCTCCAAGGGCTGCAAAGTTTATAAGGAACAAAACAACTACATGCCGGTTACGGAACCCGAAGACACTCATCAGACTTTCGATTCCTTAGCATCGCACATGCTGTGTCAAGCTTCAGTTCAGTAACTCTTCCAAACGCAGTATCCAAACTGACAGTGAATGTTCAAACTTGCACAAATTGGAAGCAATAAAGACGATAAATGTTTCTTTAAAGATGCAACGGAAGCCGGTCTGTGCATAAAGGTGGGAAGAAGGCTTAGGCAGCCAAGACTCTGTTATGGCCATAGATCATGGGAATGTGTGTGCCCTTGTACATTGCCAACTGTCCTACTGAGTGACTGGGGCGAGATCCTACTGCATAGAGCTCTCTACGTCAGCTTACTGAGAACTTCTAAAGGCCACCCAACTGGTTCCCATGATAAAGAATCCAGGCTTCTTTACAGTGGGGTTTGAGCCATGGCGGTACCACCTTTTTGGATGGCCCTAGCAGGAGGACTGTGGCCAGGGCTGCTGGTGGAAGGGCTCATCCTGTTTTTAACATGCAACCTTGCAACGGATCAACCAAATTCCCTGTTTGGGGACACTTGCACAGTTCCCTAGACAGAGGCTTCATTGTGGCCACAGTGAGGTGGTGACGGACAGAATGTAAACCTGTGCCTAACAGGAAAAGGAAATATTGAAGGGTCAAGGGTTAGCTGTACAAACACAAAGTAGGCATCATCCTTCGTTGATTTTCATGGCATACAGACACAGAGTAGATTGCAGACTGCATTTGTGCTACTGTGAGTGACAGAGTTTCCTCAGAGCAGAGGACCTCCCTGTAAAAAAGTTGCTTGTTTTCACTTTCTGGGTCTTGCAAAGAGAGCTGCCTGCCTTTTTTTCTATTTGAGACAAGATTGAGAAAAGAGGGAGAAGGCAGGCCAGCGTATAGAAGAGTGCTGCTTTATAATGGAGTCCTTGAATTTCCTCTCCTGCAGAAAATTGTGGCTTTATGCTATTAAGATTGCCAGAGGTTCCTCAGTGGGCAGGGTGGGTTCTTTTAAGACTCTGCTATGATGAGAGGATGGTTTCCTAGCTTGCAGAGAGCCGCTTCGTTTCTCCTCCCAGATGTGGTTAGTTAGCAGACTTTCTGACCAGGCAACAGATTTGAACAAATCCACTTCTGGTCGTTTGGTAATCTTAACACAAGAGAGACAGAACTGAGCAGTTTGGGAAGACACCCGAGCATCGTCACACTTTGTCATGGCTGAAAGGAACAAGAACTACGAGTAGCCCAAATCCTATTCGCTACATTTAAAGGTGCTCTTAGCAGAACAGGCATGTTTGCTGCAGCAATAAACACAGTTGCACAATTGACACACTTGCCACTGGTGTTTACCAACAGTAAACATGTCTGAGTGGGGATACATTTAGAACCAGAAATTCTGGATGGCTCTAGTTCTTTTGGCCCATAGCCATGCATTTCTATCCCTGACCGCATTTGCTGTTGCCAGAAGGTACACAGCAAATGTGCTTGCTCTGTGAATAAGCCCTTAAACATGGATTGACGAAACCAGGCGGCTCTCTAACAAGGCTGTCAAAAATGCTCACGTCTGCCTTATCTCCCGGCAGAATAAAACACCACGCGTCCTGCATGTCCTTGTCAGCAGAGCCACAGCTTGCTGCCTTCTGATAGTATAGTTTTGAGTCACTCTACAAACGACAGTCTGATGCTAACCATGCCACCTGTTTTGCCTTCTGTACTAGCTGGCCTTTGTTGAAATGACTTCCAGCTTATTTAACTTGGTTTCACAGTCATGGATTCTCTTTTCCCAGGTATGTCCCTGGGTCAGGTTGAGGGACATCATCTAAGAACTGGCACATTTGGACCAGGATTTTGGGGTGGGGTGGGGAGAAGAGGTTTAAATCTTCTTCCGTGTGCTGTCTTCCCAGCCTGAAATTGCTTTGGGGTGCTGTCATTTGTACTGTGTATGTACCGTTTTCCCAGCAGAGCAAACAGTGGCTCTCTGAGACAGTTGTGGGTTGGGAAAATGAGGTGAGGGGGAGCCTTAAGCCACTCCCCCCCCCATGCTGCAGTCCTGATCCAGATTGGGCTCCCTGCACAGCAGGGGAACATGGAACTCCCAGCCTTTGTATGTTGACCTGATTGGAGGGGATGTACCCGGAAGAGTGTATTGTGCAGTTATGGACTCAGTGCCGCAACTGTACAAAGCCCTGGCGATGGATGGCTTGCTCTGTCCAAAATATCTTGCCCCTGTTGAAACGAATTCTTTCAGGGTTTCCTGTATTTCTTGCAGGGGAAGCCATGACAGATAAGATTATATTTGCAGTGTAGAACAGTAGTAAATTGCTGCTGGGGATTAATTTAGGCATGTGATATTCAGTTCCTTGGACCTGCTTAAGAAAAAAAACAGCAATAATCAGACTCTGCTATTGACTTCCAGTGAGTGCCCACTGTTTATCCATTTCCCTTCCACCACTAAGTAATGCTTCTCCACCATCATCCTTGCAAACGAAACAGGAAAGCCTTTGCTGCTGAAATCATTTTGATTGTAGATGATTTTGATTACACGAGTGTGCTTTTTAAGACTCAATCAAAGGAAAATCATTGCATTTAATGCCCCCCTGTGTTTTGTTTCTTACTAGTCCTGTTGAGAAATGCATAGTTAACCCTTGCTCAAAGGCATTCCCCTTTGCATGACACGAAAGCCCTCCTTTCTTTGGGAACTGCACGGCTGCATTTGGCCGTGGCAGCTGTTTGAGGAAAATCTCCACATATCTATTGCAAAACAGGTGCCGGGAATGGAATTCCTCCCCAAATAAAACTTCTGTCCTCCCAATCAATCACGGGGAGCAAGTTTTCATTTTTGCAGGACATGGGAGTCTTTCAGTCTGGCTCCTGAAAGGCTTAACCTTGATTTTGCCCAGACTAATTTATGGTTTCAGCTGCTGACATTTCTAAGTGTCCCATTTGCTGCCAAGGGTGGAGATGGCAGTTATGGAGGGGGCCCAGCTGGCTGAAGCATGTCCACCGCGCCCAGTTGGAGCAAGGGAAGGACAAGAAGAATTTACAGTGCCTTTGACCTGGAAACCAGTTTTTGTGGAGTAGCCTCACCTTTCATGTTGCTCGATGGCACCTGTTATATCTTCAGATACAACCTGTCAGCTTCAGATATTTTTTTTTGCTCTTTTGCAAACCAGTGTATGAAATGAAAAAGTATAAATGCCGATGGCTCTGTAATAAGCTGTCTAAGAGAAATCAAGACCCCTCCCCTTGGGTAATTTTCTCCCCTGTTGTATCAAGTTTGTACCAAGTTTTCATCCAGTACGAGCTGCAGGGTCAACAGCCAGATGCGCCATGTTGTGATTTTCACTTTGGAAAAAAAATTAAGAGATTTAAAAACCAACCCATCTAGAAAGCTAAGTAATTGCAGGCAGGAGGAAGAAAAGTATTGACATTTATAAATTTACCCCGATGGAATTAGTGTTTTTGAGACTGGAGGTACTGAAGACTTATATATAAAAGCTGGGCCAGCTTCTACAACCTACCTGACAAAAGACTTCCATCTGTTTCCTTGTATCACCCAAGTTGTTCTTTATATAAGCAGAGAGGTGCTTGAGAAGTTATAGAGGAGTGAAGCTCCGATGCCTGCAGACACTATATTTAGTCTCACCCTCTGACTTCTGAGACCACAATAGCAATCACCTGCATGTATTGACATCTACCTTCTTAAGGGCTAAAAACTTGCTTTTTAAAAAACTGCTGAGTAGAGACTTCCAGGGCACTGAACCTTCTAAATGTGATTGTGTGTAAATTAATACAAATAAATAATGTAGATATATGCACAGGGCTGGGGGGAAAGATAACCGCTTTTCCCATCAATTTTGTTTTTAGAATACCCTTCCTCCAAAGAGCTGAGGGCTGTTCACATGGTTCTTCTCTCCTCTGTCTTGTGAATCCACTTAGGCCAATGGCCCAAAGTCACCCAGCGAGGGGATTTGAACCCCACTCACTCCAGGTTTAGCCATTCACACTTAAATCTCCCTTTAAGCACTTGAGCCAGGGCATTTCCCCATCAGCTCAGGGAGCCATGTCTGCTGAAGTGTACCCAGCCTAACACTAGGCCATTGTGTGGCTCCCTCCCTCCCCAATAATTTACAGTCACATTTTCCTGCCTATCCAGGGAGTCTACCAACATCTGTATTGATTTTATGGGAGGCGCAGAGGGATACTTTCACAAACCCATGCCACTGCAACATGACATAGAGATCCATTTTACATGTAGTACAAGTGCCACGGACTCACTGTCCCACTCTGGAAAGAGACAAGAAGTCCCAATAAAACATAAGAAGGCACAACTGTAGGGTGTGACAGATATGCAAGTCAGGCATAGTGTGAATGCTCTGCGTATGTCAAGCCGCCACCGTCTCCTGCTACAGCTGCCTTCCTCCAGTGTGCGTTACCGGGGGGGGGGGCTTTTTCTTGTGGCTCGCTCGCTGTACAACGGTCTGTAGCATCCCGAATTGGCTAAGGAAGGAAAACACAGAGCCCTGTTGTGTGGTCAGAAACATCCATGGCAGAGAACTACAGAAAAGCAGCCTGTTGCCGCCCTACAGTTCTGTCCTGCTGGAATACTGAAACATACACTCATTTCCAGACTGATCATTTCAAGGGGTGGGCAACCATGTTGGTCTGCCATAGAAGAGTCCAGTAGCTCCTTAAGAGATCAACAAGATTTCCAGGGTGTGAGCTTCTGAGAGTCAAAAGCTCTGACCAAGGGAGCTTGTGCCCCCCCCCCAATCTTGCTGGTCTCTTAAAGTGCAACTGGACTCAATCCCACATTGTGGACAGACCTCACTTGTCAATAGGCCGCGTAAACATTAAGTTTGCCAGCCGGGCCTGTAGCTACAGTGGGTCATCTTGGGGCCCTGCCCCACACATAGCCCTACCAGAAACCATACCAGAGAGCCAGTTTGGTGTAGTGGTTAAGTGCGTGGACTCTAATCTGGGAGAACCGGGTTTGATTCCCCACTCCTCCACTTGCACCTGGCTGGATGACCTTGGGCAAGCCACATTTCAGATAAGAGCTGTTCTTGAAAAAGAGCAGTTTCTGTCAGAACTCTCTCAGCCCCACCTACCTCACAGGCTGTCTGTTGTGGGGAGGGGAAGGGAAAGGAGTTTCTAAGCCGCTCTGAGACACCTTTGGGTAGTGAAGGGCGGGGTATAAATCCAATCTCTTCTTCTTTTACCTCCCAGGGTGTCTGTTGTGGGGAGGGGAAGGGAAAGGAGTTTGTAAGCCGCTCTGAGACACCTTTGGGTAGTGAAGGGCGGGGTATAAATCCAATCTCTTCTTCTTCTTCTTTTACCTCACAGGGTGTCTGAGCAGCACTG